GGAAGGAAGATAGGAAAGAAAGTATGGTTGCCTTCCTGAGCAGCAGTCTTAGAAAGGAAAGATTGGTCTGGGGAGAGGAATATACGAGTGCAGAGGAAGAGGGTGTGAGAAGTATCCATAGTATAGACCTCTGAATAACAGTAATCACAGGCGAGAAGGAGGAGGAAATAAGTCAGGACAGAAGAGCAGTACAAAAACCAAGAGGTCAACGGCTCGAATAGTGCATGATCTCAGTTAGGCATGGGAGTTGGGCGAGGAGGACAGAGGAGAATGAAGGAGTAGAACAAAATGAAGAGGAGGGGAAAAACACATTGTAATATTTGGAAAGGCAAAATGCCATGAGTAGGACCTTTTAACAACTAGTAAAGGACAAACAATGGACGAATTACCAGATAAAAAAGGCAGAAAGGTGGTTTATAGTATGATGGGCAGGATGAAAGGAGTGGTAGAAGGATTAATGACAAAAGACCTGTCACAGTAGTTGATAGATAAAGACAGTGGAAGGGTAACAAAAATGTGATAAGAAGAATTTCACATAATCAGAAAGTTCGGCCTGATGGGAAATGGATCATGCAAATCCCATGCATGAGTATGAAGGGAAGATATCTCTCGATGGAGAAGGGATGCATGAGGGTGAGGCAAGAAAGGGGGATACTGGAGAGAAGAAGGGGGTCCTAATGTCAAGCAGACCAAGGCTAAGCTGGTCAAAGGGACATCAACAATAAAACCTGACAAGGAGAATAGTGTTTAAAGTCAAGGACTCAAGGGAGGAGATGAATAGGAAAATAGGCATGTAGAAAGACGTGATACTAGGTTTGGCTGAGAAAATTGACAGCCAGAGTCGAAGGATGAGGAATAAGGGACCAGAAGAAAGGGAGCTCGGAGTTTAGAAGGGTGGCAAATGCATCTACAAGAGCAAGTTCAACCAAAAGCAAACCCCACAAAAGGCCCCCTGGGAAGTGTAGAGGCCAGCCACCAAGGTTTAAGTTCTTGGCAAATGACAGGCAAAAAGACAAACTGTATGTGGATAGACTCGGAAGTGTATGTTGAACACTTGAAAACAAAGAGTCATGGAACAAGTGCCACTTGAAAGTTTGGTGCAAGAAACGACTGTGGAATTGACTAAGTGGAACATGACCAACTGATCCACCAGTAGGGGCAGGAATGAGAACATTCTCGACGAATCGCGAGATGTTGATGTGGAGTGAATGCTTGTCCAGCATCCAAATGTCAGAAGTCCTATCTTTGTCCAGAGATGTGCCTCAAGCAGAGAGGGAAACACTGGTAAAGGGAGAAGCCCGTTAGAGATGTGGTAATGGAAAGTCGAAAGTATGGGCATAGTGCAGTCACCATAACAATTCCTCAAGGAGAGGTTCTCAAACAAGGGCAATGGATCCCAAGAAAGAAATGCCACAAAGGAATGAAGGGTTCGAGGGAAGCCACAGTCTCCAAAAGCAAAAGAACCTCTTATGCAGAAAGAGAATGAGAAGCATAAACCTGCAATGCAATAGCTCACAGGTGAAAAGTAGAAGGCTGAATTTGGTTGAGGAAAGAGACGAAGAAAACTTCCCAAAAGTACCAAACACTGAGTGGGCATGAGAAAGGACTTACATCCCAGAATATGTCCCTTCCTCTCTAACCGAGTAGCCACCTGTGAAAGAAAGGAGAGTAGTAAATAAACTAAGAATAGGCTGTGAATATAGCGAGCAAAAGTCCTCACAATACCAATGAATACAAAATGGGTCAACAGTCACTTGAAGGGAAGAGCACTGAATGAGAAGGCATGTAAAAGATGGGTGAAATATAGAAAACAAATGGAGAACAGATTGAGAGTGATGTGTAGGAAGCTGCAGACCAGGTGACAAAGACCATAGAGCAAGTCAGAGAGAGAGGAAAAAAGAAATAGAAAATAAAGCAAAGAGAAGAGAAGCAAGGAAGAGGCCTAGGTGGATAAATGAAAAACGACCACAAGCAGAAAGGGAGACCAACATCAGGAGAAGAGATGGGTAAGTACAAGATCATATTTGTCTAACAGTCACTGTGAGGAAGAACAATGAACTAGACTTCTGGTAGATGGAGAACAAGTGAAAGGGTTTTTTGGGTTTTTAGAATTTCGCGCAAAGCTACACGAGGGCTATCTATGCTAGCCGTTCCTAATTTAGCAGTGTAAAAATAGAGGGAAGGCAGATAGTCATCACCACTTACCGCCAACTCTTGGGCTACTCTTTTACCAATGAAGAATGGGATTGACTGTCACATTATTACATCCCCACAGTTGAAAGGGCGAGCATGTTTCGAACTCGCGACCCACAGATTACAAGTCAAGTATTCTAATCACTTGGCCATGCCGGGCCCGACAAGTGAAAGAGGCTTGGAAAGTGGAATGGGGAGGTTAGGAGTAGACTGATCTAAACTAGGAACAAGAGTAAAGGGCGAGATCGTGAAATAGAAAAAAAAACTGGGAATATAACGAGGATAAAAGCTGTGTAACCTCAGATCACCAGGGAGAAAGGAATACTACTGAAAAACATCTGGGCAAAAAAAAAGGGGGGGGGAGGGGAGCCATATAAACATCAAGTACACAAAAAGAAGGAAGAAGTGCAGTAAAGAGGAACATTACCCAACCTAACGAGTCCCAACAGCAAGAGCAAAGAGGGATAGAGCAGAAGAAATCGAACAGAACCAGCTGGCACAGAGAAAGGAACAAATGTCTACAACAACCCAGCTGATGCATGAAGAAGTGTCCCAGATAAAAGGCAGTGTTAGAAGACGAAATTCACGAAGGTAGAGATAAGAAGATGAAAATTCAGAAATGGAGAACCAGAAAATGAAGTAGAAGGTAAGAGACCTAAACAACAAGGGCAGGGGATCGAGAAAAGGAAGGAAAAAATCTACAAGTCAGGGTAAAGGAATCGCGAGTGCACGGAGGACGAGCATTCAGGTGTGAAAGAAGAGCTATCAAAGAAAAGAAACAGTATAAATCCTAATAACAAGAAAGGAAAAGAGAAGGTAAACTCCAAGTATTGTGGATCAGGGAGTCAAAAACGATAAATGAACATATCTGAAAATGAAATTATGAAAGACATTGTAAGATTAAGGTCGTTTCTCAAATGGTAAGGTACTTCCTAAGGCATATCAGAATAAAGTTGAAGCCCAATAGATTATTACCGACTAAAGAGAAAAAACATTCGGTCTATACAACGGGAGTCGACGACCCAGTAAGCTTGTAGTAATCCACAAAACATTCAACAATGGAAGTAATGACCTCAACAATTAACGAGCCTCCAAAAGCCTGGGTGTGGACGTCGCTTACAAAGGACGAAGTCACTCTTATTTGAGAATTCATGATACAAATTAAAGCTTTCGAAACAGAAGCCAAAGAAAATGAAAATCAAGTTTTGTTAACGATGCAAATCTCAATAAATTGAACTCATACGAGAAATTTAAACAGTTTATTTAATACAATACTGAGAAGAAGAATGGAGTTACTACAAGTGCCTAGGGGGAAGTATTGCGCATAGAGATGAGATTGTGTCGCCCTCAAACCGGTGGAGAGCAAGATGACGTAAAATTTGGTGGGAGTTGCCTGCAAATTTCTCAGGCAGACGTGCAAGGAAGATATGTAAACTGTGTGAGAGGCGAGTTATCATCTCGGAACTTGTTAATCCTTTTGCACAAGTTAAGGTTACATACCGCAACCATTGTTATTGAGCCTCAAGTAAGCATGTATATCTTTCTGCATGGACTTCTTTGAAAGTAGCCAATACAGAAAACCTGTACACCTAACTTGATTTAATACTGCGTGAAGACCATTGGTTAAAATACATAACCTAGAGTAGTGAGATGCCAGAATTTCTTTGTTTCACTGGATATTTAAGTCAGACATTTCCATAGATCCGTTTCTTAATTTATCTCTTATTGACCTTAGCAGCTAGATGACACGGAAGAAACAGCCAGTTCAAGTGTCACCATAACAATGTGTTTCATAAAGTACTTTTATATTTCAAACTATTCTTTCTTTTTATTGTCTGTTCTAATTTAGGCTTTAAGCTGTGTTTTACAAGAACGTTTGGATTTTTTTTTTACTGTGTATATTGCATCTGTATACCACATAATTTTAACTTTCAGTGAACGAATAGGCCCAAAATTATTCCAATAAAAAGCTGACCATCATACTTATCTACTGGCACAAGACATCCAGGTTTGTAATTAGTTTTTATTTTATTTTAACCAAACCATATTCTTCCATTGATCCTTGTTTCACATTTAACATTATTGGTACCAATTTATTCCAGATTTGGCAATTTCTTTCGCATTATTAGTTTTCTGAATGGCAGACCTATAGTGTTAACCCATCCTATATTGTTACACAATGGGCTATGTTTTGCCTACTGCAAATAACGAAACCCAATGTTTAGCAGTATAAGCCCTTAAACTTACTGCTGAGCCACTGGAGAACTTCATGAAATACAGAATGAAGATTACCATAATAAAAATTGCAGAATTTTGAAATTAAAAAAATCAAACATTTGTACCAAATAAACTTTTATTATCTTGTCAGTTTGGTTTTTGTATACTTTCTTGTATGGTTTCTACTTTTCTGTTTCATCAATAAATTGAATTTTAGTTATAAAGCTTATACGAATATTGTACAGCTAATAGTGATGGTGAACACAAAAGGCTCAAGTGAAATTTGGGTGATAATGTGATGGTTACAAACACATCTTCATTGCTATAAAATAACTGGCACTTATCTTTTCTGGATCAACACTGTTTTTCTGTGTTATACCTATAATGGTACTTGTTTTATTTTTTACTGAGATTAATCAGTGAAAACCATTTAAATAAAACTGGTTTTAATGCAGGTGACCTAACTAAATGTGTCATTATACTTACTGTGCTTTAACACCATATACTTACTTCCATTATGCTAAACATGAATTTGAAACTTTTATATCAAGATACAATGGATTTTGAAAAAAATAAATCAAGTCTACAAGCTTACTTCTTTCAATATTTATTGCTTCACCAAAACGTACTTTACTTCCACAAAGATAAACTCTACAACAGCCAGACCTAAACCGATGTGGATGTGACTTCTTACATCAATACTGGTGAAGATCACAAGTGACAATAAGTGTAAAAACACTGACAGAAGTAGGGATGGGACAAATAGTAGCTGTGGCCATACACACTGAAAATGTGCTGCAGGTGTATGCCACCACATAATTTTGGTATTGTATTAAAATCGTTACTTCATCGTCTTTTTAAAATTTAATAAAGTTATACAATTCCATACAAATCAGTGGTTACTGCATGCCCTTTAAGGAAATGCAGCAGTAATAGTATACATGTTTTAGTCTTCTCCACTCCCCAAGCTGCTGCTGAGACTGTTGTTTGAATTGTACTTGCAAATGTTGTTTCACTACCATAACCACCAGCATCACACAGGGCAACACAATGGGTAGGCATGATTATTTAAACTACATAATGACTATCTGTATTATAACCATCAGGACTCCCACTTTTTAATACCCAAGAAAATGCTACTATGCTTATAAGCTGGTAGAAAACACCTGTAGACTTACATGATGCAAAGCTATTACATGTGATGCACATACTGGTAGGTTCGTTTATTTGTTGTTAAGCACAAAGCTGCATAATGGGCTATCCATGCTCTGCCCACTGCAGATACCGAAACTCGAATTTTAGTTTTTATAAAACTATCCGACTTCCCACTGGGGGACAATGCAAATAATATCATTTCTGTAGAATATTGTGAGATAATTGCTGATGGAAATGCTATCTGATTATCCAATTCACTATAAAATTAACATAGAATCGGATCAGATTTCACCGGCTACGGCAAAATCTGACGAAATGGATACTTGTCCCATCCCTAGACAGATATAATATGTAAACATCAACAAGTACTGCAGTTATCAGAAAAGTTAAATCCTGGAGAAAAATTAACACCAACTAATCAAATGTTTACTCTCATATCAATGTGATTTTAAACAACTCTATTTTCATCTGTTTACCACAATTACAAACCTTTCAAAACTAAAAGAGGAGTGAGTAAGAGTAAACAGTTTGGAAAGAACATAAAACAACTTTTATACTATAATACACAATGTGATATAGAATTACATACACTAATTATTTTTGCGTCATTTTCAACAGAAATCTTAACTTTTCCTTTCTTCCCGATACAAATTATAACATTTTTCATGTCAAACTCATTGATCCAAGAATAAATGGCTGACAGAAATTTATTAAATTTTATAACTGATAAAAATGTGGCAACCTCATAAGATGATCTAATTACACCAATAAGGAAATATTTACAGTCAATCTATTTTATTAACAATAATTACTTCTAGGTAGCATAAGTTCTTAATTATTTAAAGCAAGTCATAAAGGTTTTTAACTAAGTGTTTGTGTAATTGCAGATTTTACCAGTAATGTGTAGTTTTAAAAAGTTATCATACCTACATTGCAGGTATAGCTGTACCTATTGTTATAATTTATAACAGTAAAGTCTAGTTTAATAAGGATATTCACCTGAAAATGTGCTTGCACCATTAAAATACTTTTGGTGTGCAGCAGTAAATCTATCATTAAGTTCTGATGAAGAAAAGCTACCTACATATTACAGTAGGAAACTTTAGTTTAATAAACATCAATATTAACTTGAGGTAAGTTCCATAGTTTTCAATTATACACCTTATTCCACTAGACTTTCACAACACACTGGAAAATGACTTTAAATTCATGGTCAGAACATGTGTGGTTCTTCTAAACATATATTTCTATGTTTTGTTTTTAAAGAAGCATATATTTAATATACTCGAAATGGAAATAAAGGAAAATCTCAATTATCAATATAATCAAATCTTAGAGAATGAGCACAAAAATAAAATCTTTTGTGGTAACATTCTTAATGGCAAGTTGTGACAATTTTAACCAAGTTTAATATAAAGATGGAAAATTAAATGTACTTTCTCTGAGAGAAGCACAATAATACCAATATTTGATGACTTAGTGAACAGTAATACGTATTTCAAACTCCTAACTGTTTGAAAATTGGAAATTTTATTAGATATTTTTTAAATTAAAGGACACAACATAAAATGTGGCCTTTTACTTCTACAACATTTGTTACACTGTTCAAAAACAAATATAACAATTCATGGGGAGAAATTCGTTACTCATACATTAATTACTAAATATATACAAAATTTTCATTAAATTGTTCAACTTATACCAGGGCTAGTTTGAATTATTAAAAAATCAATCAGTCTAAGTTTTTAACATCACAAAAACAATTTTTATACTGACAAAGTAACTTCCATCAAATACGAAAGTACAGATAACATTACACAGTACTATGATATCTAATATGTAATCAATGATTTTTAATCTTAAAACACCTGGTCAATTCCTAACAAGAAAAGCAACCATTTTCATGTTCTACATATGATTAGACATATTAATGTAATTTTTAATGTTTAACAACAAAACAAAAGCTCATTAACTCAAAGTATATTATCTACTTTTAATGTTATAATGTCAACAGAAATTGCACATGGAATGTTTACTATTAATATACAAATACATACATTAACAAGCTAATAAACCTTGGTTATAATACATTACATAAAAGGAAAAAAACATAGTGATTATTTTAGGTACGATGACAGTCCAGAATAATTATTGACAAGAAAAAAATGCACCACAAAAATGAATGTGGTACACGACTATTATGTCAACATCTGACCTTTACCTTCTATAATGAGTGTTCATTTGTGTGTATTTAATAACAGATATTTAAAACAAAACCTAATAGTCACATACAAACTCTCCTAAACAGTTTGCCAACAAAACCAAAAGCTTTGATAATAATTAGAAGTTCGTTTAAGCCAAGAATAAACAAGTAAAACACAAAAGAAGAAAGTTCACAATCTGTGCTGACTGGAGATACAACAACTGAAAATTAATTTCTAAATGAATTTTTTTTCTTTTGCCTTTAGTTACAAGTTTGACACTGACAAGATACATAAAGACAGGAGAAAGTAAACACACATGTTACAGACCAAGAACTCAAATCTTTGAAAGCTTTTTTCTAAATTATGTCCACAGTTTTCTTATAACACTTAAGAGAATAATATAATCACTAATGGATTTTTAAAACGTTTCTAATATCCTAGACAAAACATGCTAATGACATCCATTTTGTGGTCCATTTTCTCCACGGGTATCTAGAAGGGCAGACAAAAATTGGTGGAAAACTGTGAAAAACATCTACACAACATGAAATGGTAATTCCATGCAGTACCAGCTGGCAAGAAATGAAGCTCTTCCCAGCTCTGACTGCTGATTCCTGTCTTCTCTACAGGCAAGTCATGCTGGTGATGAACAAAAAGATGCTGACTATCTAATAGGGAGGTCAGAACTGGTCATATAACAGTTCACACAGTTCCTTGGATACTGAATCTTTACTAGATCTCATAGTAAGTCGGTACATCTGGAAAGGAGAGGATATTGATGGTAGCTAAATTAGATGGCACTTGTGCACTGATAAAATGCTGAAAATGCATACACACTGTTGTTGACACACTATACAATAAGATTGGACCCAAGAAAACCTCTACATGTGTTAGTGGTGTACATGCCACCACTTACAAGCAAAATGACGTTTCCTTGTAATGTGAAATAGTATGAACTACATAAAAGCACGTTATTATACTTTGTAAGCCAACATTATGTATCTATATAGTTTCTTCTCTGCCATCATTCCATGCTATATTTCTAGTAATTGTGATACTGATAACTAAAAATCATTACACTTTAATATAAAAACACTGTTTTATATATATTTAACACTGAATTTCAAGTGAAAAAGACATTCCAGGACTTAAATTCACGAACTTTCTAACACAGCCAGTTATCCTACCACTACAAGTCATCCCCATCTCAATGTTCACTCATAAAGTTTATACTATGAGTTTAGTTCACCTTACTATGTTATAATAAGTATAAAGTATTTCCACAAGCTTAAATATATTTTAACTTCCATTAGGAAACAATCAAAGGGTATTAATTAATATTAGATTATATTTTAAGTGAAAAAAAGATTTTGGGACCAGGAAAATTGAACTTAGGATCTCTGGCTAAAATTATTACTATTATTTTTTCATCCATTTGATACAGCTCTTAATTTTGCAACAGAGGCTTTTAAATTGCATTCAAAGCAAAACTTTAAGTAAATCACAAATAGTGCCTACAAACTTCTTGAATAACATCAAGAAGCTGAAAGATCTGTAAAATGTTTTATAATTTTACCTGAGCATGTGAGTTCGGTTCTAATCTCAGCAAACAGCCTACTTGTAAAGAACGAGTGTGGATGATTCCTGCACACACACTGTTTTCAGGATTAGGATCAATTCCAGGCAGATATTGCATTCCAAAACCTATTAACTGAAGGAAAATATATACATATATGAATAACTACATTAGTATTTGTCTATAAAAAGAAAGCAGTAAAAAATAAATATTACTTCTATTCATAAACTACCCAAGTGCTCTAAACCTGGCAACTATCTCATTCCTACTATCCAAAAATCTTCCTTTAAAAGAAACACCATAGTTAACATTTGGACAAAATCTGCAACAATTCAATAGGATAAATTTAAAATATGCAAATAGACTGGGTAAGGCAAACAGTATGCAAAGTCAACCAATGGTATTCATAATTCATACTGTGATTTTGGTAAAAATTAAAATACTTGTACTGCCTTTTTTTTTTTCAGTAAGTGGGAGAGGAAAACTATCCAAAAGTTTTCTTCAATTGTCCTTTACCTTTATATATGCAAACATTTTCTCAAAATAACAATGATAATGTTATCTTAATATGAGCCCTGGAATAACCGTAGATGATCTGATGCTTTTAGTAGTTACACAGGTGGAATTGCTAAGGAGATAATTTGTCTATTATTGTTATTATATATATACAAACACACACACACATTTTGGGTTACAGGCAAAATGTTAGAAGTCAAAAATTTGTAAAACATTATTCCACACTCACTTAGTAGTACATTTTTGTCCAAATATAAATTTTACTGTTTATTATCATTAGTAGTAGCATTAAAATAATTTTATAAGGACAACTACCTACCTTAGTTTTGGTGACTTCTGGATCCATAGGATAATTAGCTTTGAAGATTTTCTGTGCTTCTTGAGCTGGACTGAAAAATAAACCAACATTTTTAGTTTTTAATGAGTTTGCTACATCATTTTACAAAAGCTACTACAGTGAAACTACATCATTCACAAGAGATGTTGTTTAGTATCACAAAAACTTACGTTTTCAATTACTTCAGTGATCTCTTAGTAACAAATAAACAGGATTACAACACTGCTACCACCATATATATTAGTATTATATGCCATGTGAGATGTAGTAAAAGTTAAATATTAATATGAACTACAACTTCTCCTTTGTCCAGTTTGTACTGTTTGGTGTGCCTTATAATGGACCGCCCTTTTCAGGGTCCTTGCCTTCATCTGTCCCTACCCTGGGACTCATCTTTTTCCAAGGATCTCCTCTCCATTTTCCCTTACTGGATGGGTCACTCCTCTGGTTGGTATGTTTTGGGATGCTTTTAGACTAATTCACGTTTCTTCATATTCGACTCATCACCCTTCTCGTTCTATTGCATCTCTTCTTTGCTACCCCTAGGACGAGATACTCCAGGGAGGCATGTGGATAGCTCTCTACACATCCATCTCCTTCTCTTTACTTTCTGTCTGTTTTATCTCCTAGTGGTTTTCAGCTTCCACCAGTCACCATTCTTCAATCACCTTACCATCTTTGAGAATAATACATACTATTTTTCTTTCAGAGCTCTTTTTTTTCATTCATAGGATCCCACCAGTTGGCTTGTGTTGTCTCTCAGATTATACTTACCTAAAATCCACATCAATCCATGACAACAGAAGGCGCGCATATCATCTGCTCTGGCTCTACCAATGCCCACTGTGAGATAGGGTGTTTTGCAAGACCATTTGGGATATCCTCTTGGTATGCATATTTATTCAATTTTCCAATCTAGACCATACTTATTCCATGGGCTATCATGGGAAAAGCCGGCATCAAAGAAGTATTCACCCACTTCTTTGGCTTACACTTGCTGGGTTTAAAAAATAGAGTTTTGCAGTCATCCATTGCACTGTGTCCAGTAAAAGAACTTTCCAGCAAGAGATCCAGACAAATGTGTGTTCCCCTATGCGAATCTCCCCCTCGTCGAGTTGAACATGGGAGAACCTTACCATTTACCAATTCCTAGCTGCTTGGGTGGTGTACCATGGAGAATCCTCACTGGTTGAGCTTAGCACAATATGATGAAAAGTGAGGTGCTGGTGACACTATCATTGTGGTGCAGGTCACCTCTCTAAACTATTACTCATACCACTTTTGCCCTCCACATGCAGCCAAAATCTGTCCAGTAGAGTTGAGGTAAGTAAACACTATACATAACCATACTGCATAACTACAGTGTCCTCCTCCTGCAGCTGGAATCTGTTCAGTAGTTTTGAGGTGAGCACACACTATACAACAAAACTGCATATATAAAGTGCCCTTCTCCTGCACCTGGAATTTGTTCAGTATAGTTGAGTTGACTTTAATTCATCCCAACCACACTATACATATTTGCTCAGTGAATCTTTGTGTGTAAGTGCTTAAATGTTCATATTCTTATTTTGTCTATCTCTGCATCACATGGGACTCATTTTCCTCTTCTCTCTTACATTCTGAGCAAAGACTATACCCTGATCGAGACGAGATGCAGTCACCCACGGGTGTGCCCCTACAGAGCCCGTGTGATCAGGTTCATGGGCTTCCATCTGAGCACTTTCTGAAAGAGCTCGTCTAGGTCAAATTTGCACCATCCCCTCCACAATTCAACGTGAGATTCTAGCTAAACTATGTAGGTGAGTTATTGTCTCAGAAGTTAACATTTTTCAAATGTGAAAACGTATTTCTGATAGATACTCACCACTACACACATTCCCACCCATCCTCCCTACTTACCGTACATATTTTGTCTTGCCTCTCGAAGAATGAAGTTATCTGGAGTGAAAGTGCATAGGGGAGTTGTTGGACATGGAGACTTTATCACCCTGCTGTAGGTGGAGGGCTTTTGTCATATGATGACAAAATTAGGTAAGAGTTGCCTCAAGGCTAGTGACCTGCGAATCTCTTAGGCAGATGAGCGAGAGAGATAGCTAAACTGTGTGAGAGGTTAGTATCTATCGAAAATACATTTTCAGATTAAGAAAATGTTAACTTTACGACCTTAGAGCACATGGTCAACAGAGCGGTGAGTACCTTCATGGAAATTTATTACGTGAATATACCTGAATATAGATACATTCTATACTAGTTATATAAAGGTGAAATTCATGATTTCTTCAGCCATTCCAATGCAACAAATGATCCTATTACAGATCAGGTTCACTCTATTATGACTACTGTATTTCCAAATGGAGCTGCTTTGTTTCAGGAAGACGATGTATCAGTTCATACTGCTGAAAATTTTTAAAGACTGGTTCATGTGGTTAGGGCACTCGACTTGCAACCTGCAGGTCGCGGGTTCAAATCCCCGTCCCATCAAACATGCTCGCCCTTTCAGCCGTGGGGGCGTTATAATATTTCAGTCAATCCCACTATTCATTGGTGAAAGAGTTGGCGGTGGGTGGTGATGGCTGGCTGCCTTCCCTCTAGTCTTTCACTGCTAAATTAGAGACGGCTAATGCAGATAGCCCTGGTGTAGCTTTGCGAGAAATTCAAAGCAAACAAAACCAGAGAACATGAAGAGTTTGGACACCTATCTTGGCTTACACAGTCATCAGATTTAAATGTTATGGATCCTTTTCGGGCTTTCCCATAGAAGTAGAAAACGAGT